AAGCTATTGTTACGATACGGAATATCCTAATCCGGGTGGATCTATTCAAGACATGGCTGCTTATGTCTATGAGAATGATAAATGTGTATTAAACTCAGTAGAGAAGGGCCTTTTCTTGAACGTGTATCGCAAAGTATTTGGAACCCCGTATGTAGAAGAGCCTCAAGCTATGTCCACGGGATTGCAGGCTTCTTATGATGTCCTTAATGAGCCTCGAGAAGAAGATGATGATGCACCAAAGGAATCACCACCTTTAGATGGTGATTTGCCGGAGGATGCGGGTAGTACTGGTAAAGAGGGTGGTCTCTCCTCTAAGGGTCTGGTCTCATCGGGCTTTGATTATGATTCTGCTAACAAAGCTGTTGAGAGTATTGTTGGTTCTGAGGAGGAAGGTGGCCAGTTTACTGAATTCTTGGCCTCTGAATTTCAGAGGATGCGGCAAGAAAACAGTGCTGCTCACTCGACTCTGATAAACGTGATTGATAAGCATAAGGAGTCTATCGATGTTGAGTCTCAACATCCATTTTCAGCCTGAAAATGGATGCGTAGGCAGGCTGATGCCTGCCTACGTAAAGAATTATCTACCTCGGTGGGTGCGTTAGACGAGAAGGTTTATAACTCTATAGAGGAGTTGAGGACTGCTACTAATGATAACTTTAATGCTGTGAAGATTTGCTTGGACGATCGTGACCGTCAACACAATGAAGTGACTTCTAGGCTAGATCGTCGTCTTGAGGCTATTGATCTCAAATTAACGAATATGGGAAGGCCTACTGTGAAGACGGTGCAGGGTGCTCAAGCTTTTGATTTTAGTCCTGATCGTGTAGGAGCTCAACAGGTTATTGGTAGTAATAACGACTTGAGGAGTCCTTATGATAGGCATGTTACGTTGAGAAAACGTATTGGCTCTGCCTTTAGCTTGAATGGTAATGGAGAGCCTATTGGTCGTGATGTAGGTCGTAGCAGTCATGACCAAGGTCTTCCTGTGGCGCCGAATGCTACCTCTGATTATGGTATGCCTTTGTACGGGCAGGAGAGTCCGACCTTTTCCTTCAACCCCGTTGGTTCTGGTGGTGGGTCTAAGGCAACTACAGAGCAAGGGGCTGGGTATGTGCAGGGTAAGGCCTGTAATTCGGAAATGCCCAATGGTTCGCTGGGTGATCCTCGAAAGGTGTGGCACTATGAT